AGGAATCTTTCTCATCCCTATAACCAACCATGATAAATGCCCAAAGAGATAATTAGCACAATGAATCATAAATAATAATTTAATGCTCATGTTTTCATCTATTTGCTAATCATTAATAGTGCTTGTTGTTGATAATCATGACAATAATCAAAGTGAGAGCTGTAAATTAGGAATTGAGAGATTTGTGTTCTAGGCCACCTTGGTTGCAATTCGCTGGCATAAGATACCCAAGATCTTGAGTTTCTCCTGTTTTTTCAATCCTATGTAATAAAGACAGAATATGGAAATTGACCATAACTTCAGAACAAAGATGGCGCATCCACAGCCAATAAGGAGGGAATATGCAAATTGACACGACAAGGCGAGAGGCAGAAGGAGGCTCCGGACCGGATGCCGGCAGCCAGGGGATGGAAGGCCTATTCTTGCACGAATCTTCATGCATCGGGCCTCTAGTTGTGAAATAGGGATGATAATCACAGTCTTAGTAGTTACCTTGTGTAGTAGGAAGGACAGTATCTGTCTTGCTTGCCCAGCAAAGGGACAGACTTAGTTAAGAAGCTTCCTAGATATGTGTTGAGTAGATAACACAAAACATGAGTGATCGTCACCCTTAGGAGAATACTTCTGACATATCCTTATTCAGAGAAGGGAAGGAAGCCAAAATGTGTTGTGTTCTCCTCCTGTTCCAAGCCTGCTACTATTTTTCTCTGTGAAATTAGGTTATTTTATAGCTGAGCACATGAGATAAAGGAACATTAATTAATTGGCCTCAAGTCCTACAGTTTGTAAGTGATTAACCAGGATTTGAACTAAGAATATCTGATTCAAAATGCTGTGCCTTGTCAAGTCGCCTTTGCTCAGACAGAGATTGCCCTATCTTGGGGCTTGCCACAATTGCTGACGATCAAAATTAAGACTTTCTATTTATGCACTGAACATTCTGCTGTTGGGTTTGAAACCTGTAACTTCTTGTTCTGCTGGTGTCCTTGTCTGTGTCCTCTTCCTTTCTCTATTGCGGCTGTTACGCTTCCTCATGGTTCTTGCCCACACAGACCCCCATGGTATGGGCTCCCCTCCCCCACTGTTCTGGTGCTCTCTTGCCAACTCTCTCTAGAGCCCTCAGGTCTCTGAACTTATTTGAGTGCAACAGTGAGATTAGAAGTCAGATTTCTATCACTTACCAAAAAAAAAAAAAATGCAACCAACGAACAGAAAAAAATAATCAAGCTTGCTGTTAGTCAAAAAATGCCCATGAAAATGATAATGACAAAATAGGCCAGGAAAAAAAAGTGACAAGGGACATCCAATGATGGCAAGATGCCCTGTGATGTGCACTCTCATTCCCATGTGGTAGGAGGACAGTCCCCACCTTTATGGAAAGCATTTTGGGAATAGGGGTCCCAAGCCTTGACAGTATTCATGCTTATTGACACATAAAGAAATGACCTCCCACTTAGGTCTCTATCCCAAGGAAATGATCAGAGATGAAATAAAAAAGAAATGTCTATCCCAGTCTCAATCATAGAACAATGATTAAGTAAATTATAATGTATAATTAAATTATAATGTACCGGTAAGGTATAGTATTAGAGAGTAATTAAAAAGAATAGCTAATGAATATTTTACAATATGGAAATTGGCCACCATAGAGGGCAAAATGAAGAAACGTCTCTATATAAAGTTTTATCTCTTCCTGATCCCTAGTTTTATAAAAGAATATATATTTGGCATCATTTAGACAAAATGCATTAAGTGCATTCCAGGTGCTAAGCACTAGGCATGCAATATAAATAAAACACAGGCTCGGTGCTTACAGAACTTACAGAATCATAGGGGATTCAGCTGTAAACAATCATACAATCAACAGTTAAAATCCAGTGATTGCCAGGACAGGAAATTAAATAATATGTTTAAGAGCATTTCACACTGGAGCCCAATTTACACCAGGAGACCATAGGCCATGTTCTCCAGGAAAGGGGCATCCAAGCTGACGTAAGAGAGAACCAAAAGGAGGTGTGGTGGGAAGAGGCACCAGAAAAGGGAACAGCCCAAGGCGGCCCCGACAGATGCCCATGGCACTGCAGCGGGTGAATGGGAGACCACACCAAGGGGTCTGGATGGCATCTTGTGGGCATTGGAGCAGGGGCTCAGTGCAATGCAGTGACACTTGCAGAAGGTCAAGTTTCAGATACAAGAGTGGGTGGAGATGGCCCTGTAATAACAAGTAAGAATAATGATCAGAGTTGAAATAAAAAAGTAATGTCCATCCCAGTCTCAATAATAGAACAATGATTAAATAAATTATAATGTATCCATAAGGGGAGTGAATGGAGAGGCCACATTTGAGGGGCCCCTCAGGGGCTCCTGTCAGCCCGCCTGGCACTCTACCCTGTGCTCGGTAAGCCAGGCTTTCCTCTGGGGTGGTCTGAGACTCAGATGCCCACACACCATGAGTGAGGAAGGGACTTTACCACTTCCCTCCTTCCATCGTCCATGACAGGCTGAGCTCCACCCACTCTCTATCCCACTCGTCTTTGAATGCCAAGACAAGGGAGGCTCCTCAGCACCCCACTTCCCGCTACTACGGAAGTCTCATTTTAAAGTCAGGTGTTGGCTCAGACCAAGGAAGCCCCACCTCAAAATCTGCAACTGCAGCTTCTAAGAACCAGGGACTCCGAGGATGCGAGGAAATATTCGTTAGTGGTTACCTGAGAATACGTGTAGGTATAGCAGGAGCATGAGGGAAAGTTCTCACCACTTGAGTTCATGCTAACTCCTCCTGATTCCTCCCCGTGCTCCGTGAAAACCCGTGGCAACTTTCTGAGCATCTGTCTTGCATCTGCCTAACAAGATAATTAACACTTTTTGTCACTGTGGCAGCTTTGGGGGGCGGGGAGGGGGGGCAGAGGGTGTGACAGCCAGCGCCGCCTCGGTTAACCCTGCACTCCCCCGACCCAGGAAGAAGGCAGCTGAGTTTAGCATCGTCCAGGCAGAGGTCTCCACACTGACCTCTCCCGTTCTGTCCACAGCTGGGGCACCCAGGGCGACTTCTCCACGACCCACGCGCTGCCTGCTGTGAAGGTGAAGCTGTTCACAGAGAGCACCGGCGTCCTGGCCTTGGAGGACAAGGAACTCGGGCGGGTAAGTGCTCCCCTCACAGCCGGATGCACACAGGTTGCTCCAGAGAGCGGGTGTCTCCAGGACCCCCGAGGCAGCATTGCCAAGAGCTGAAGGACTGGCTTGGCCATTTAGATCCCAGGGTGCTCTCTGCATGGACGGTGCAACCTTGAGCAAGCAAGTGCTTCAACCTCTCCCAGCCTCAGCTTCCCTGCCCTCAACCTGGTCACCATAGCTTCCCGCTGCTGAAGACCAACTACCAAGCAGGGTCCTCCAACCTTCCAACCCACACCCCCTCAGGCCAAAGTGCTCCATGCTCTTTACTATCCTGAAGTGAAAGTCTTAGGTGACTTAACAAACCGACCCACCTAACAATCTAAATCAACACATCACATAAAGGGAGAATGAAAGGCAATGGCTCAATAATAGTATCATTTCAAGATGTGAAATTATAAAAATCCGCTGTGGAGGTTGGCGACTCCAAAGCCTGAGCCCCAGCGAAGTGACTTATTGAGTGGATAAACAAGTGTTGGTAACAACATTGCTTTTATTTCCCTGGAAAAGTGCTAAAAATACTTTGAGTGCATGGGTAACACATTTTTTAGGAGCTGGACTCAGTCAGTTATCAACAGGTTTCCCCACCTCCATTTATAGTCAGAGGGAATACTCAAAAGTCAGGTGGGATGCAGGACAGTTCCCTATTGCAAAGGGTTATCTCACTCCGCTCCCGGATGTTTACTATTCCTGGGGCCCACCATGCAACTACCACACCAACAGAGCTCAGCACCAATGATTTTCAACCAAACAGTCCTCCCGCCCAATTTTTGAAACATCCGGTGGATGGTACCACTCCCTTTGAGTCATCTCAGCTATGGACGCTGCACCAAAAAGCCAGTGGTCTTTTCAGGCCGGAAGTTAATTAGCTGGAAAGGCTTCCATCACCCCACACCGCGTGTAATAACATCTGAGCTCTGGAGGCAGCCTACGAAGGCTCCGGGTGATCCGGGATCAGGCTTCTGCCCGCCTCCTCAGCCCTTTGCTGCCACTGAGCCCCAGCATCTTCAGCCAAATCTGAGTCCCTCAAATAAACCAAATTCTTTCCTGCCTCAGGGGCCTTTCTGTCTGCCTGGAGCCCTGGCCCCACCTCCCGAATCTCTGAAAGGCTACCTCTTTATACATGCCCCTCCTCCCTCCTCAGACAGCCCTTGCTGGCTGTCCATCCTCCTTTAATTGCTACCGCAGCCCCTGTTCACATCCTCCACTGAGCCTATCACCACTGAGAGAAAGAGAGGAAGAATTTACAGAAATGTTTACCACCAGCCTCCCCACCAGACTGTGAAAGCTCCATGGAGACAGAAACCTAAACAGTTTTGTCTGCCACCCCATTCCTAGAGCCCAGCACATAGACTCTCAATAGACTTCATTTCCCACTGGCCGAATGGACAATCCCTTCTGAAAGCTGTGTGACTTCAGCCAAGACTTCTAACCTCTCTGGGCCTCTGATATTTTATCTAGAGAATAAGAGAATACCCCAAGATAAGCACACAGGTGTGCGCACATCACAGCACCAGCAAGAACACATTACCCATGCTTCCTTCTCTCTTCCTTTGTCTTTTCACTTCCTTTTCTGCCTTTCATCTGTAGACCTGACCTGGAGTCATATTACTGGGACCCGCACCACAGATGGAAGTAAAACACAAAGCAAACAAAGCTAATAGCAAAAAGAGTGCCCCCCCCACACACACACCCCCAAAAAAGGAGGGGGATGAAAGAAAAGAAGATGTGTAGTGTTTTCTTTGAGAAATGATAAGTATTCATTTCTGCCCCTTGGGAGAGGCACACAGATGGGGAAGTCGCCTGCCTTTTATTTTTCTGCAAACTTCTTTTTCCATGAAGAATCGTGTCAAGAATCCTGAGAGTCTCAGAGCGCTAGGATATGCATGTTAGAAGAGACAAGCCCAGGAGCACTCAACCTGAGTCCAGGGAGGATTCCAGGGGACCCGGGAGCCCCTGGAAATTGTCTGCATATAGTGTGCGGGGCGGGGGGACGTGGAGGGGAGGGAGCGGATATGTGCATTTTTCTGGACTCACTAGTTCAAAGCTTTCACCAGCTTCTCAAAGCTGTTCCCACTCAGAAAAGTTGAGACCACTGGGCTAGTCAAAGCCTTTCATTTTGTAGATGAGAAACTGATTCCTGAAGAGGCAGGAAGCTTTTCCAGAGCCCCCGGGTTTGCTGGGGCCCAGGCAGTGCTGGCCAGCGCTGTCCTAAGCTCTTAATGTGCAGCCCCTCGTCCAGCCTTCACCATGGTCCCAGTGAGGCAGCTGCAGAAAGCACCCCTCCCGTACTGACCGGCCCGCTGGGCCCGGAGGCGGTGATTCACCAGGAGGGATGTTGCCTCACCGCAGGGCTGCTTTTACTACACCACAGCGTCCTCCGCAAAAGCACACTCCTCAGCTCTGTGGCCATGGGCTCGCCACAGGCCCCACACAGCCATTCTTTTCTTAATAGATCATTCTCTCATATATTCCCCAGACACTAGTTTACACTTGTTCCTGCCAGCTGGGGCGCCCTCTGCTGGTGGCACCGCCACGGGCCGCAGCTGTGACTGCTAAGTGGTCTTTTTCAATGTGAAGTGCCTTGGAGCCCTCAGGAGAGTGTGTCTATGCCAGTGGTCAGCAACCCGCGGCTCGCGAGCCACATGCGGCTCTTTGGCCCCTTGAGTGTGGCTCTTCCACAAAATGCCACGTGCCGGCGTGCACGT